ATATATATATATATATATATATATATATATATATATATATATATATATATATATATATATATATATATATATATATATATATATATATATCTATATATATATGGCTTGAACTCCGACTGGAATCCTGCAGACGTTTCGCCAAATCTCACTTGGCATCTTCAATGCTCGCGCTCCGAGAACGCTTCGAATATATATATATATATATATATATATATATATATATATATATATATATATATATATATATATATATATATATATATATATATATATAGATATATAGATATATATATATATATATATATATATATATATATATATATATATATATATATATATATATATATATATATATATATATATAGATATATATATATATATATATATATATATATATATATATATATATATATATCTATATATATATATATATATATATATATATATATATATATATATATATATATATATATATATATATATATATATATATATATATATATATATATATATATATATATATATATATATATATATATATATATATATATATATATATATATATATATATATATATATATATATATATATATATATATATATATATATATATATATATATATATATATATATATATATATATATATGGAAAGCTGTTCTAATTCTATCCGCTGTACGTCCTTGTACTTGTTGGCCAGAGCTCTGCCTTCAGAAATTTCGATCCATTATGCCCGCATGTTTTCACTTCTTCCCTTAGAAGAGCTTTGTAACGTCAGGAAAGTACAGTGCATTTTTCATGTGGAGCTTGGATAGTTTATCGATCTCAATATACTCAGCTCCTAGTATTCCTAGCATTAGATGACAGTGTCCTATCAGAATTGTTATCAGCATCCTATTCGTACACGACTGAGACAGAGAGCCCAATTTTGGTCAGACAATATAGACAATTTTAACGCAAGGCTTCAGTTTAGAATACGGCAATACCGCCACAATCCGTTCAAGTCTGCCAGCCTTCTCAGATAATGATAATAATAATTCCAAACATAAAGTGCTACAATTTCCAAAATTTTGGATGTTAATTTTGTAGGAAATCGAATTGGGCAACATTTTTCTTTACGTTTGGAATCGGCGTCGCAATGATTTTTGCCAATATAGTACAGAGACACGAAATTAGCCAGTACAATAAGAAGTATAACACGACAATTCCTAAACCGTTTCCGTACGAACTGTATTATATGACATTGGACGAAGAGAAATACGGAACTTTGTTCGTATGGTTCAACGATTTCTCGATACTGGTGGCTGGTTTCTTAGTAGTTTCCACGCAAGTGATTTTCATCTCTTGCATTATATTTGCTTCATCGTTGTTGAGAATGCTGCAGATAAGGTTTAAAAAGATGATCGGATTTACCGTAAACATCTCGGTTACTCTTAGGGAACTGATACTGGAGCACCAACGAGTTATCGAGTAAGCGAAAAGAGTTCAAAATATTACGCAACCGACCGTGTGGATTGTTAAGGTTTATTATTGTTATAAAAGATGATCTAATTTATTGTTTTAGATTTGTTAACAACTTAAACGAATCGATGAAATATATAATGATGTTGGAATATCTTCTGAACTCGTTAAACATGGCCATGGTGTCCTTTCAATTTCTTGCAGTAAGGATTTGCAAAATAATCGACATAATTTTGTAATGAATTTTGTTAAACGCATTATCCTTTCAGGCTGAACATAACATACTTATAGCGTCGGTATTATTTTATTTTGGACTTTTGGTGGTACAGACGTTTATTCTGGGATGGAGCGCCAACGAAGTTAAGATGCAGGTGCTGGAATTCTTTTTTAACTCCACAGAAATTTGATGATTCCCATTGAGGATTCGTTGACTGAGACGATATTCATACAGCAATTATTTTAACTAACTCTCATATTTCGACTGAAATGACGCTGCATTCTATTTTAGAGTCTAGCATTAGCGGATGCTATTTATGAGAGTCCGTGGTACGAGCAAAACCATGCAGCTAAAAAAACTATGATTATTATGATGATGCGAGCGCAGCGACCTCTTGCTTTGACTATAGGACCTTTCGACGTTATGACAACCCAATCCGCTTTGACGGAAAGTGCATAATAATCCTTAAGTTTTATGTCCAGCCTACGGTATTCCTTTTTTAGATTATGAAAGCTTCGTACTCCTATGTTACATTAATGATGAACAACTACGAATAATCAAATTGAGTGGCAATTGGTATTATGATGAAAACAATTATGTCGCTTTTAGGTGCATTAAATAGTGCAGAGCGTTTAATTTTATTTTTCTGCTCCCTAACTCTAAAATACCCACTGTTCAAGTGGTTGTTTCACACACGAAAAGTGTCACTTAAAAACTTCAGCTTCATTAAACACTGTCGCGAATCGCAGCGAAAATTTACCGTCAAACCACTGACTCAAATATATAATGACCATAGAATGAATTCTTTGCAATTGGTATCATTGTATCAATATTTAAAAGCTGACAAATCAATTACAATTAAATATAAGCAAATCTCACTCCTACTCTTTAAATTTTTTTAACGGAAGCCTTATTTCATCGTAGTTGGCGTTGACCTTTATGGATTAACAAGGGAAAAGGTTATTTCTGTGCGCACGCGTCAAATAAGGAAAAAAGTAAAACAACCCCAAAATAAGAAGTGCAAAAAAATCCCTAACATATTGGTGGTGTTTTGCAAAAATGTGCTACAAAACTATTGGTTTGTTTAGTATAAGAAAAGTATAATATGCAACATAAACTTCTTCAGTCACTAGGTCATTAAACTACCTCTCCAAGATATTTCTAGATGACTTTTCCTTTTTGTGGAAAACAAGAATCACGTCGATATCAATTCAGTTCGAATTTTTGGACATAGCTTGAATACAAAATATGAAACCGAAGTTTTTACCATTGAGTTCCACTCAAAACATGCCTAAGGAGGCAGATTTGAAGCGAACATTACATATTTACATATTTTTCAGAAGGGACATTTAAAATCCCTTTTCTCTTATACCAACATTCAGACTTGCCGACCTGTAAATATGTATTTTTCACTCATTCAGTGGAAAACCACCGCTTGCTAATTGAGGAAATCATTTCACCACATTCGAGGAACTTTTTAGCCGGAGAACAGAACATTACAACATTGCAAACACGTCCGTGATCAAATAGTGGTCCAAAACAAAACGTCTCCCAACTCTGAATCGAATGCTTGTTTATTAAATTTATTAACTCTATGCAAATTTAGTTCTTTTAAAATTTATACTTAAATAAATCCCAACCGAGAGGATAGCGCCCTCTGGCGGACTGAAATTAATTGCTCAGGGTCAAGGTTGCCTATACCTACACCAAACTTTTTTCGCAGCTTTAGAAATTCTTCGATATTGCTAAATTGATCTCACGTTATAGACCGATTAAGTTATTAAAAACGCTCCAATCATTTCTCTTGTAAAATATTCAAACTTTCGCAACGTCTGCAAGTAATAGGGCGATTATTAAGTCGACAATTGACGTATTAATATATAATAACCTAATTAAATAAATTTAAAGTATTCCAGGCATATTATTTAGTAAAAATTAGTGGTATTAACTCAAACGATTGTAACATTGTATTTGACTAATGCACGTCGAGGACAAGCGGTGGTAAGACGTGTTTCATCCAAATTAAAATGAAAATTATCAATTTTCTAATTTTTTTCTTATTTTTGGATAGCGACTACCGCTATAGCACAACTTACATTGAGCTGTATACAAATATGCTCTGCTTTTGTTTTAAGGTTGATAAAAATCAGCAACGCCCGAAGACTACAGCAGACTAGAGATTCTAAAATTTTCCAAAAACAGCATGATATTGGCGGGAATATGGCGGCTTCCGATTACTCGAAACCTCATCATCAAAAGACTATACATTTACTACAGTGTGTTCATTCAGGCGTATGTTCCGTGTTTCTTGTTATTCCTGTGCAGCAAATTCTTTATTCTGGCCTTCGACGTGGATAATTCGCCCCTAAAGGTTTTCTCGACATTTGTGTCCTTCGTAGTCATGGCTAAAGCAGGACTCGTCGAGAAGAAGAGGGTTCGAGACATATTCGTTTTCATTAATAGAACAGAAGAAGAAATTATAATATATTGGAATGTCACTCTGCGCTCACTCGGTTTTGTAGGTAAACAAGCATTTTATTTTTAAAAATTTTCTCCAAAGTCACAAGAATTTAAACCACTTTATATTATTTTTACTAGATCGGTTTTTATACACAAATTTGCCCAGTAATACCGAGAGTCTTAAAACGCTTCAAGCATGAATAATAGAAAAAATGAGACCCATACATGCACTGTTGTATAAAATGTTCTCGAAAATAAACTCATAGAAATTTAAAAGTATTGTAACAATTCTGTGAATATTTTTCCGACTTGTTCACGGAAAAGCTCACATTCTGAGTGACAGACGATCGATCAAAGTCACAGTATTGAAATTAAGTAAGTATGTATTTGAAAAAATTCAAACGAAGATAGGTTTAAAAATAGTTTAGCTTCTGCACCCTCGAGGAAGCACAATATTTCTTTCATAAATTGAGCTCCTAGTACTCTTAACCGGCTGCTGTATAGTGGTGCGAAACTAGTTAGGAGATGAATCAGTGTTTCCTCTCAGAACTGCCCAAATATCGTCGCCCCCACACCATGACGTACCTGCCTTCTCAGATGACAGTGTCTTGTTAGAATTACCAGCGTTTAGATTCACGCGCGACTGAATTTGAGAGACCAATTTTGGTCTTGAGACTCACTCACTCACATGAGTGGGTACCGAAACGACAACAAGTAGCTCTGTGTTCCTTTTGAATGTATAACCATGTTTTCTTACTCAACATCATTTAGAAATGGAGTGTAGTAATCTCAAACGTAAATTCCAGCAACTCAAAAAATTAAGTTTTTAACTTTTTCAAAGAAACTCTCTTGTTGGCTTCTTCAGAGGTTAACTGAAACTGGCTCGCATTTACCTGCTTATAAATTGTTTGAGAGGGCGGAGCTAGATGAGAGGCATAAACATCGTCTCGGATGACTGATTCCCATATTAGCGATATGTAAAGACCTGAGTCGACGTTAACATTGTTATGTTGTTTATAGATGTCTCTAGACTCTCGGATTTTTCGTTGGTAGAAGAATTGATTACATGCAAGAATTTTAGTTTTATCAAATAAAATTGTATGCCCAGTTTCAGTTAAGCACTGAAGAAGCCAACAGGATGATTGGTTTTGCATTAGGTTGTTAATTTTGTAGGAAAAAGAATTGGATAACATTTTTCTTAACGTTTGAAATCTGCGGCGCATTGATTCTTGCCAATATAATACAGAGATACGGAATTGGTGAGTACAATAAGAAGTATAACACGACAATTCCTAAACCCTATCCGTACGAACTGTACTATATGACTCTGGACGAAGAGAAATACGGAATTTTGTTCGTATGGTTTAACGATTTCTCGATACTAGTGGCTGGTACCTTAATAGTATCCACGCAAGTGATTTCGTTGTTGAGGATGCTGCAGATAAGGTTTAAAAAATTATCGGGTTTACCGTAAACATCTAGGTTACTCTAAGGGAACGGATATTGGAGCACCAACGAGTTATCTAGTAAGTGAAGCGAGTCCCTTTTCTAATATTATGATGACGGTGTTTATTGTTAATGCTAGGATTATTGTTTTAGCTTTATTAACAACTTACACGACTCGATGAAATATATGAGGATGTTGGAGTATCTTCTGAACTTGTTAAATATGGTCATGGTGCCTTTTCAATTTCTTGCAGTAAAGATTTGCAAAATAATTGTCATAATTTCAGGCTGAACATAACATACTTATAGCGTCGGTATTATTTTATTTTGGACTTTTGGTGGTACAGACGTTTATTCGGGGATGGAGCGCCAACGAAGTTAAGATGCAGGTACTAGATTTTTTTTTAACTTCATAGAAATTGGATCATCCCCATTGAGGTTTCATTGAAACTATACTCGTACATACATTTTTAACTAACTTTCATAAGTTTTGTGAATAGTGAACTGATACAGCCTTCTATTTTAGAGTCTAGGATTAGCGGATGCAATTTATGAGAGTCCGTGGTACGAGCAAAACCATGCAGCTAAAAAAACTATGATTATTATGATGATGCGAGCGCAGCGGCCTCTTGGCTTGACTATTGGACTTTTCGACGTTATGACAACCCAATTCGCTTAGACGGAAAGTCCATAAGTTTATGTCCAGCCTACGGTATTCCTTTTTTATATTATGAAAGCTTCGTACTCCTATGTTACATTAATGATGAACAACTACGAAAAATCAAGTTGAGTGGCAATTGGTATCATGATGAAAACGATGATGTCTCTTTTAGGTGTATTAAATAGTGGAGTCTCAACCGCATTTAATTGTATTTTTCTGATCCCTACTTCTAAAATACCGAACTATGCAAGGATCAAGCGTGCGGAAATGCCAACTTCATTACACGCTTAGGAGATTTACGGTACTTTAATTACGAGTTTGTTATCGGTAGATTTTAGTCATCTATAGTGTTTTGACGTTGGTTAATTCTGACTGTTTGTATCCGTGCTGTTCTTCAAAAATCTACACAAAAATTAATGGTGTGGCAAAACGTCGATAAAGTTCTTCATTCTAATATTCTATTAGGATGTATTATAAATAATAATTTTTTTATCGATAAATATATCGATGTAATCTATATTTTAAACCTTCCAATAATATTATTCCATGATCTAGATTAGTTTTAACAATTATCATTTAACAAGCCATCAATACCTTATTGAAATGCTATCCAATGGCCATGTCCGTCAATTTCGCATCGCTCTGTATAGACAATATAATTTATTGCCTTTAGCATTTTAAAATACATTTGTTTATATAGAAGAACTTGTTTAGGAGTTTGTTGACTTGATGGGTTTGTGGCGGCAGGTGAATGTCATCGCGAGAGCTCTTTTGAATGTTAATTTTTCGGAATTATAGACAAAAACATTACTCAGAGAGCCCATTAACTTTTTACTGGTTTTTTGTTATCGAAAAGCCACTGACCTCTTGTGTATTTTGTGACATCATCAAGATTCTTTTTATGGATACGTTTTAACGTTGATCACCGTCGCAGATGATTTGCTCATTTTCCTAAAAAAGGGCGTAAACATAAATTATGACGGACGAAATTGGGAAATACTTTTTCAAAAAAGAAAATAAAAAGAAATGCCAAGTCCATCCCAACTTACCAGTTTTTGATATACCTATAACAATCCATACCATAATTCATAACTCTTCAAGAACCAACCAAAAGTTGGAAATATTAAAAAATCTCTATTTTTGTGGTACTTAATGTTGCCTAAGAAAACTGCTTATAGAAGCAATTCTACCCATTTGGGGACGAAGCGATCAAGATTAATCAAAAATATCTCATGAATTCTCGAATTCATTATTATGCCAGTAATGAAACCACGCCAAGTAGTGGGAAATGTTGAAGCAACCAACCAACCAAGTAAAACTATAAATGTCATAAATAAAGGTATTACCGGTACGCCCGATCGAATAGTAAAGTTTTAAAATTACATTAAATGGAAAGTGCGTTTCACTCTATCAGATACCGAACAACAGCACCGTTGTGATTAGTATTCGAGGAACTTTGAATGAATAATTTTGAATTCAATACCAGAGAAAGTTTAGGGCAATGAAACTAAAATTTAATTCAAGTTTGAGAAACACGATTGCTACTTCTTCAAAAAAAAAGAGACTAGTGCTCAGAAAAAGTTAAGTATATTAAGCTGTTAGACAAGTCTATAGTAGATTCAGGTTATTTAAACCTGTTTATAAAACTTGTGTGGTTAATCCAAGCAAATAAGTTTTTCTTTTCTATTATTATTACTTTATTATTATTTAGCACTGAATTTCATTGCTGATTGCTTACTTATTACAATTGGACAGACACTTCAAATCGACGAACAACCAGGACACACCGAGAAAACTTGATCAATGAGACCTTTTTACTCAGAAGTGATCATTATGATTTATCCAATCAGGGTTTACGTGATTTATGAACAATTAAATGGAATGCTCTACATTAACATTTTAAAGAAAAGTGTTGTTTATAATTTAGTTTTTAGAGCTTAATTTGTAATATATCAGAAATAACTGTTTTAACGACGCTTTACTGGTAATGTCAACAAACGGAACAACTGGCAGGTCAGACAAATAGGACGCGACCGACAAAGTTTAACATTTTGTAAATCCCTTATCGACAAAATTGAATTACCGCAGCAGATGATAAGAACAAAATACTAGAATTTTTAAAAACTGTTTTGTTTACGTTGTCGTTTCCATAATTATCTAAATATTGAGTACAGTTCTATGAATGAGATTGCAACGCGTGTATATCCTATTTGATTAGGAATGTATGCCATCGTATTTGTGATTTGAATTTGTAATATTATGCGATAGATATCACGGGTTATCGACAAGGGACGAAATGTTTTGGAATAAATTTCCGATTAATAGTTGATAGGAATATTTTCTATCGTAGACAAACAAAGGTCCTCCGAGTTGCGAACATATATATTAATTAATATATAATAATTAATAAGAAGTGCCATTAAATAATAAAATATTCCACAAGACCTCATTGGGTAGAATTAGCAAAACACCACGATTTCAATCACTGATGTGATCATCAGTACTGCTAAACGTAAAAACTCCATCAGTATTATCTTTCTTTAACCAAAAAATCCGATCGCTCGCAACCAATGACTAAGGTATGGTCTATTCATAGATATAAGAAAGGGATTAACTGATAAAAAATAAGGAAAGACCTTTGCTTAGAATTTAATTATTTGGGGTTTTGTTAGGAAAGACACTAAACAATATTTATTTATTTAAGTATGTATTTAAGTTTAAATCTAAAATAAAATTACAAATTATTTTTATTACCTACTTAAATTACTTAAAATTATTCAAAAAAAATATCAGTATCACTATCGCTATCATCGCTTGTTCTAATTATCATTTGTTCTATATTATTTGCAATATGGATATACGATTGTTCTGCTTTTTCTATATGTTTAACAGAATTTGCGCAACTTTGTGGAGGGATGTTAAAACCTTCAGTTTCTATAAGTTTGAGGACATTGGAGTTAACACGGCGAAAAACATTGTTACGATGAATGGCAGATTTCAGTTGGTGCCAAACATGTTGAATAGGATTAAATATACAGTGGTAAGGTGGAAGCGTTAAAACTGTATGCCCTAGATGTTTTGCATAATTATCACAGACATATTCCTTTTGTAGGTTCAAGTTTTGTAGAATCTCAATTAATTGTTTTTTGGTATAATCTTCGTGAAAATAAATGTCGTTATTATACATGTAGTTTTGGATTGTTGCTTTTGTGTCACATGAGGAAGGGGTTTTAGTCAACTGTCTACTGTGATAACTTGCATTGTCTATTACAGTGACGCGATTAGGAGGAATGTTTGGAACTAGTTTGTTTTTAAACCAACTATCAAATAAATCAGCGGTGGTGTCTTCATAGTAATCCAAAGAAGAATCTTTAATATTTTTCGCAGACAGAGGAAGTCCATTTGGAACCCAACCATCTTTAGAACCAGCATGCAAAACAGGTTTCATCCAAGTAAATAATTGGTCTTTGTTGTTCTCTGTAAATCCAAATTTTTTTCTAGATATTCCAGTCGCCATTTCCGAATTTTAAAAGATTCCATTAAAACTTGCCTTTTGACAATTCTTTTAAATCTAAAACCCATGTGTTGAACACACTTCCATAAGGTAGTTCTGCAACATATAACACCGGTTTCATCTTTTTTAAGCCTCCTAATTAAGATATCTAATCTAGGCATGCATTGTTCCTCGTGTAACTGGTAATGTTACGCCGTATTATATCTTGATCACTTTCATCTACACTCGAGAAAATGTGGATTATTCACAATTTTCCATACAGTTGATGCGGGAATATTCGTCAATGTGGCCGTTTCTTCTAAAGATGCTTGCTTGCTGGCACCACGTTCAATGAGAGTCAAATAACCATTGTTTGTAATTTCCTTAGTCTCAATAGAATAGTGTCTTCTACATTTGGGCGGGAGCATCTCCTGAGATACACTATACTCGCATATATTTTGCATAATTCGCACACAATGCAACCCAGGCGTATTACACACGAAATAAGAATGATTACTAATAAACTTAAACTAAGTAGTATACCAAACCAAAGAATATTAAACATAGGTAGGTATAAAATTATTTTCTATTACGGACCACAATTTTACCTGAATTTAATCTTGTTGCATTGTATGTTAATGCCCACCCTTGGATAACCCGTCAAAAGCTATTGGTCACTTTCTTATATCTATGAACAGACCATACCGGTAACGCTCGAATTGGCTAGCGAAAGTATTTTAAAATGGGTGAGTTGAGTTTTAGAGTAGGAAGTAGTAATAACTGTTCCGTAATCGTCATAGAAGCACAATGTGTTTTTGATATTGTTTGCCTGCCAAATGAAATGAAAATTTTGATGAAAGGAAAGCATAACCTTAATATTGAAAAGTTAGTTTTCGATAAGTTATTTCACATTAAACTTAAACATTTTTTTTATAATAAGTTTGTATTCATTTGTGGGGAAAAGAAGAATTGTACAAACAATCTGGGCACGCCGCTGCATATGTATTCAACTGAATCAGACAATTTCATAAATATAAAAGTTTCAAAATTTTTTCAATATAATCGGAAATTGAAAAGCCATATAGCTACAAAAGATATTGAGGCCCTGGTTATGGCTATAAAACAGGAACTTATGAAGCAACTATAAATTTTTTTTAGAAGGTCCATTCAACATGCGGGGCGCGAGATTGAAAAATTCGTTTTTAACCAATCACTTCGCGAAATTCGACAAACAATATGGCCACTGACGATGGCAAATAAGTTTGAATTTCGAATTTTTACGGCAGTATATGCGTAGATTTCGTTAAATGTTCTGGGAAAACGAGTTCAGTGTGTGGATGTCAATTAGTAGAGCCGCTATATTATCTATCTATTATGATAAGAACAAATGGCAAACACAACAAGTAATTTCAGCAACGAATAATTAATTGGAGCCTTTTTTGTAGGAGTCTAATAATATACCTTTTTTAAGATGGACCACGAAGTTTTATTTTTTTCATGAAGAGTGCGTTATTTCAGTACTGTACTGTTGCTTTTTTGGCAAAATTTCTGGGATCATTTTCGGAAACGTGATCTGAGGGTTTCTACTCTAATCAACAGCCTATGATATCGTAAATGAAAAGTCAAATATGCTTTTTTATAGTGATGGTGTTTTTTGTTCAACCTGCATCATTAATTTCTGGAAAAAGTATTTTTTAATACCACCAATGTAATTACCCCCTCATTAAAAGACATGAAAGTCAAATTTTTATTTGGTTTAGAAATAGGAACACTCCAATTACGAGCAAAAACTCTAAGTTTGTTGTACCCACTTTGTAGCATTGCGGATGTCTCGTATGTGATAAGTTACAAGCCTAGGTTTTGTTATTTTTTCGTGCCTAAATGTCCCAAATTTTTGTAATTAGTTGTTGCATATCTACTACTACTAAATTGGCTTTATTGATGTTTCTCAATTCTGCACTCAAGTTTGCTTTTTTAACAAGGAAAACAAATTTTAAAATTTGTGTAGGGGATTCCTTTCATTCTAGATGGGTCAACCAGTACTACAATCGTTATCAGCTATGCTGTAAGGCATCATTAATCTATGCAATGATCGCCGAACTGATATACCTGATAATTACCAACGCGTTTATTATAAATTCAAAATAAATTGTGCAAAGTCACAGTTGTAAAGCACGCTGTTACACTGCAATCATATTTTTGTTTTAAATTAGTTTTGCGGACTGTCGCCGCAGGTAAATTTGATTATTTTCAGTGCACCTATTCTGTATTTATTTGTTTACTAGGCGATGCGGTGTCCTCGACAATTTGCTTCGAGATCCCTCTCCTAACTTATTTAACCCGGTTCATTGTAAATTCACATTATTTATTAAGGAGATGCCTGCCCTGTTACAGCTTCGGGACCACTTGGAACGGTTGTCCGAAGAATTGGTAAGCAATTTAAATAGTACACACACAGATAATTTATGTTGTTTCCAAAATGTTGATCACGATCTTCTACTAAGAAGGTTCGCTATACTGCCCCTGAGCTTGCGCAGAGACTTGCAATCTGTTTCATTTCTCTATAAGTTAGTTCATTACGGAGTTAATTGTCCGTTTCTTCTGGAACAATTACGTTTTCATGTGCCGCGGCTGGAAGGGAGACATCAATCAACTTTCTTACCGCAGTTACCCAGGTCCAATATCCATTTTCAAAACCCTATTTACAATATGTGTGCTACCTTCAACAAACTATCATCGTACTGCGATTTATATTATGATGGTCTCCAGGCCATACTTCAGCAACTTCGAATGGCGTCGGGTTATGCGTACCGTTAAGTCTTATCCTTTTCTTTCTCTTTCTCATTCTATCCTTCTTCATTTTTTTTTAGTTGTAAGATTAGTAGATTTAAGATTGGTTTCTACGTCCCCTAGTATATATATTGGATGATTTATATTTAATATTTCCTGTAATTGGGTCATGTTACCTGTTGGAAATAAAGTGCTATTATTAAAATGTCTATTGCACCTTAATTTTTACAGGTAGATCAGTATCCTTCTCCATTGCCAACACCGGACCGATCGCCATATTTGGAAAATTATGTATTAATAAGGATAGATGAAAGCTTTGTCAGTTTCTTAATAAAGATTTGCTTCGGTTAAATAAGCGGTTTGACTAATTAACTTCTAGCTACTAATTACAGCCACGACCATTTATAATATATATGACTCAATGACTTCAAAATTCACAACAATCCCTATAGACCGTTTAGATATTAGATATTATAAAAGCCGTAAATCTGGTACAGAATGCCCCAAAATTTCACATATTAAACTGCACTTTACTTAATTTCCTTTCTAAACAGTAAAGTTGACTGTTAACTCATTTTCAGTATATCATGACAAAATACAGAGGAATACTGAATACTGCTAAATTGAGGAACTTATCAGCATTTGTTCGGTGGTTGAAATGACTGGTCTCACAAATGGCAAACAACACCATAAATTCATTTAAAAAATATCTTATTGGTTCCTTGGTTATAGGAGTTGGGGAAAATATCTTTTTAGTAGATAGACCAAGAGAATTTGTTTGCTTGAATTGATTTTTTTCTGACAACTCTGGGACGAATTGCGTGGTTTGGAGGTTATAATTCTGATCACCAAGCTTTGCTATCTTAAATAGTTTTTTTTTTATAGTGATAGTGTTTTCTCTTTAGCCTGCATCCGGTATTTCTTATTTCGTTTTTATTTCTTTAGGTAAATATACGAATTATATTTACGGTCTGTCACGGTATAAAATAGTAAGTAATAATTTACTGTTAATTTGTTTATTAGTTTTATTGCGATAACAAATAAATATAGAAAATATTATGACATTTGATTGAGCCTCCGCCATTTTGTCGAGAATTATTTGTAACACCAAGCAAAGTTTTATTGGCAACAATTGCTACATAAAAACAACCAACAGCACAAATCGAGACGATAAAAAATTTATAAGAACTGAAATAATGTTATAAAATATCTACAGAACAGAATATCTATTGGTTATAAGCTTGTCAAAATCGAATAGGTTTTAATATAAAATGCTGGACACTCGAAACGGGCAACTTATAAATAGGTTATTAACAAAACAAATGCGAAAAACTGAAGAGGGTGATTCCTTGCTTATAATAAGGGGTACTTTGTTATATAAACATTGGCTAAAAAGTCAACAATTAAGGAGATATCGCGCTACAAATAGGTGTGTCTGATCTTAGAAACGTGCGTGCTTGGATATAGCTGATGTTTTGCCGAAATTTTCGTGGTACTTGTCATTCCATTTTAATAATATTTAGTATTTCTAATCCGGACGTTCGATCTTCGGGTTCTCAGCGGGTATCCAAACTCCTCATTCAAGCTGTGAAAAGGAGGTCAGTATTAAGATACTCTTGTGTGTAAAGACAAGCTTCCAAGAAATTTCCGTCTGTACGCCCGTACAGAAAATGCATATTCGCCATGTCTGCATTAGTGAAATTCGCCATTATTGGATTAAAACTCTTATTACTGAACAAAAGTGTTTTTGATTAAACTAGTCGTCTAACTAACTAATTGAGTAATGTCAATTAAAGCAATAATAAGGAGCGCCTTAAAAACTGCATAGAAAAAATTGCAGGGGACAAAAGTTTCTAACAAAAACATAAAATAAAAAATATATTTTTTAAAATCATTACATAAATTTCGCCTTAAATTTAGTTAATAGGAATAAGAATCGTAGTCTAATTTAATCCCCTCCATTCAGTTAAGAAAATAAAGAATTGTGCAGAAAGTGTTTTTTTTTGTAAGGGTAATACATCAGTTATATTTTATTACATATTTTTTCATCTTTATTGGTAGTTGTGTGTAGTTCTCTTTTCAAAATATTTATTTTAGGACATGTAGATCTTAATTTGACTTTTTCAACTTCCACTAGTTTTAAACCTAAACTTCGCTAACGAAATTGCCTTCAATTAATGTGACATACAAAGTGGTAATTCATATATCTAAAACCAAACCAAATATCTCTTCGACTAGGCAGTAGATTGGTATTTTGACGCACCTTCATCCAAATTTATAAGACTAAAAAAGATAAAGCTTCGTTGCGCTATGTTCCGGAATATTTAGGTATTATGTATCGAAACACAATTTTAATTACTCAGTAAGAACATATCTATTTTATATTACAGAATGATCTATGCGGGATGCTGAACATCTATTTCAGATGGCTGAAGTAACATAATAGATGTTTTACGTAGTAAAATAATATATTATCATTTAATCCGTTATGCATTGCTATATATTCGTAAAAGCGATTCTCGAAAGAAATGTCTGTTCTCCCTAGTTTAATTTTCGCCTCGGTTTTGACATAAGATAATTTCCTTGAACATTCTAAATCAATTTCGAAACATTTGACTGGTATACATCAATATTAATTTTCTTTTAATGTTCTGGCACCAAAAGGAATTTGCTTTTTAAACTCGTAGTAATTATCGATACAATGTCAGATTAAATCTCCAGCAGGTTCGTTAATATCGTTACATTTTGACTATAAATGCCCACCAAATACTGAAAGTAAACTATACCAGCTTGAATTATTGGCCAGTCAACAAATAACTAAACAACAAAACATCAAAATGAAACTCTTGTTTGTCTTGATGGTTGTATTTTTCTACGCTGTTGCTGCAGGTAAATGGATATTTATTTATTTTATTTTTTAGTAGTGTACATTTGTTTAAAAAAAAAGCATGAAATTTAAGGAATTTGTTTAAACTTTTTTAGCTAAGTTTTTGATTTTTTGCTGAATAAACACGTAATAAAAATTATGAACAATCATATTCGCTAATCTTAAATAAAAAAAAATATATTGAATTAACATTTCGTTTTTATTTTCGTTGTTCCAGCTCCGCAATTTGGATTCTCTGGGTGAGTAGTTTTAACAATGTTTAAATGTAAAAAATCGATATGTACTCTAAAAATTGTGTCTCAAGATAAAGAAATATGCGATTTAACACTCAATCATTAAACCACTGCACCTGAACAAATATTGATTATTTTCTGTATAGATCTCAGGCCAATGCTGGTGCATCTGCTGGTTCATTTGGAGGCGGTTTGGGTGGACTCGGTAAGTGGCGATTTTCTTCCAACGTGTTTTAGTTCATTATCTATCATTTTCACTTATAGGTGGTTCTGGATCGTTCGCCAATGCTCAATCCAGTGCCGGATCGGGAACCCTATTTGGAAAATGAATTATTCACTGAAGCCGACTTTGATTTTGTTAATTCTAAAATAAACAACAAATTAAGCTAAATTTGTTTTTCTTTGAAATTAGGTATAATTTTGCGTAAATTGTGAAAAAAGTGAAATCAATTTGGTGATTTCGTAAGCCTATGCAACTTTGTTTTTTTGCATAAGCAAAGCCAAATTTGGTGTTACGTTGAGTTCAACTTAAAAAATAAAAGTGTAGTCTCATGACCTACACGGGTTATTTAATTAGCTGAATTAAGAATTCCCAAGTATGACAGAACTTTAGTGGTTGCTTGGGGACGTCAATTATTATGTTGGGTTGCCGAAAGCGTCAACTAATATTTATCCTTTAAACAGCTTATTAGTAAAAAATATACCTGGCTATGGCTATGGTTAGAAGTTTAGAATACGTTTGTACCTCCATTTGTGCTCATTGATTTTAAACCGAAATTACTAATAAGGTTTTTGATAGATGCATCTAGCAGGAGTTTAAGTGCCATAATTAGCCATATACGCAGATGGTTGTTGCATCAAAAGCTAAATAAGAGGCTTCGCAGTCATATCACTGCAGACCATTTTAATTTTATATTCAGCCTTTTCTTTATGTAGGTTTCACTTTAGTTTATTTTTGGAGAAATCTGAATAGAGAATTCGGAGGAAGATGCACTAATTCCCTCTGCAATACATTTTAGATAATGTATACAAGGTGTTCCAAAAGTTAAAATAAGAATAATCAATGTATGTATACTAGTATTCCTTTATTTTTGAATTTTAATTCAAACTTTATTCATTAGATAACATTCGTTTCCTTATACCTATATCTTAGTACTTTTGGAAAAAAAGTTTCATGCTTTTTTGTTCAATATAAATACCAAACGCCTTTACTCTGGAAGATTTTGCAAATTAAAGGCAACGTTGCAATTTCAAAATTCTTATTTTTGAAATTTCAACGCAAAGTAGTAATGCTGGAATGATTAGTTCATAACATTTTGAATTACAGTTAGGTTTTCAAAATGTAGAATATAAAAATTAAATTGGAGCAAAACGGTTGCCTCATTTGTATGTGAATACGTACTTGAATACCAACATACTTTGGGTTGGTCCAGTCGCTTTTACTATACGGCATTATCGGCCAGTAATCTCAAACCATTAAGCCTTTAAGTATTGCAGGATTCTAACTCTCTGACAACTACACTATAAAGTAACTATGATTCATATGCGGAAAAATTTTTCAACAACCACATATCTCATGATCACTTTACTAGAGCAAAAACGAAAGAAAACTTAACACAACCAAAAGCAAAAAGGATAGGACAGCGAAGATTTCTATATGTTGTAAATAAATTATATAACATAATTTCTGCTGAAATGAAAACTATTATAACATCTAAAAGGTCGTGGATAATTGTCCGACAGTCATTCAGGCATCCAATAAAAGCAACTTCAATTAATGCAATCCATTATTGTGGTTCCTCCTCCTTTCATTTGCTCAGTTTCATTTTTATTTTATATTTTATTTTGTATTACTTATTTGAAAAATAAATAAACGCTTCACGTAGCAGATGAGTTCCGCAATTCAAGCTTAATTAAGTGTTTTGAATTCTATAACAAATGTTATTATGATGTATTATTTTTTGTTTATCTATTTTCTATTAAACTAGAGCACCTATACTTAATAGAATCTAGCGCTATTTTGAGGTAAAAACTTGTATCTTGTGGGCAATAAACAATTTATTATTATTATTATTATTATTATTATATTTAAAGAGTTTGGCTAAAAACGAAATGGAAAATAATTTGCAACAAAATTGGATTCCGAATCGCATCACAGCTTTGAAAAAATGAAAATTATGATATATGATATTTGAAAATTAGATCTTTGAGGCTTCTTTGATAAAGTAGCTTATCTTGCTTTAAATTGATTTTCGGTATAAATTTTAAGTTTAATTTACAAGTGTTCTTGTTCTTGTTGTTATATGATGCCCTGAACTTATAAGGTTGGGACACAATGCTGATATGCTTCACATTCAAACATATTATATACGGTGTTTCATAAAAAGTTAGTGCCTTACCAAAATATCAAGGGTTCATTCTTCAATCATTTCATTCATTTAATCTTCATTCATGCATTCTTGGAAAGGAAAATTTAATGCCTTATTTTTTTTGATTGTTGATAACTATGAAACCCTTTTCGGTATAAATGTTAAGTTTAAGTTACAAGTTTTCTTGTTCTTGTTGTTATATGATGCCCTGAACTTATAAGGTTCGGACCCAATGCTGCTATGCTGCACATTCAAACATATTATATGCGGTGTTTCATAAAAAGTTAGTGGCTTACCAAAATATCAAGGGTTCATTCTTCAATCATTTCATTTATTTAATCTTCATTCATGCATTCTTGGAAAGGGGAATTTAATGCCTTATACCTAATTCAAAAATATAGAAGTTGCCCCAAATAGAAACTCGCCTTTTTTGTTGATTGTTGATAACTATGAAAATATTTTTAAAAATATATTTAAATATTTAAATTTTAAAAATTTAAATATGCTTATAGCATAACACAATATTTTCCCCTTTGCAAAAAAGTTGTTGCGGATACTCTGTGATTCTGAAACGGCAACAGATATTTATTTGCGGTTTTTACAATTACATTTTTTATAAAAATTGAACCCCAGACGTCGATCTCAGGTTTCAAGTCTTTTAAAAATTCCAATTTCATTTAAAAGAGTCCAGTTTGGCCCACTCTGTACATTTTCTTTAAAGAATAGTGTTTAAAACCAAAAATGAATTTCACCAGTTTAAGCGGATGTGATACAAACGGAGCAAATTATTCTGTTAAAAGTAAATGTAACTGGTAGCTAATTGACTCCAAACCGGATGCGACAGTAATTATTATTTTAAAAGTTATTGCATTCTAATTAATGGACATTTCTGAAAATTCTAATTGTTTGCCGGAACGCAAAGTGACGGTGATTATGAACAAGTTTTAAAAGTTGGTATATATGATCCACGTGTCTTGGTGAGACAAGTCTTGTGCAATCCGAAACCAATCAATATGAAACTGCTATTTGTTTTTCTCGCAATATTCGTTTACACCATTGCCGCAGGTAACAATTATGTTTATTATAGATACATTGCCATAGTTTTTTAACTTGGCAAGAGCTTCAGATTAATTCATCACAAAATGGTGGATACGCGGATATGTTAGTATTAATTAAATTAATTTGTTTGGTTTAGTATATGTTAATAAAATGCGTTCATTTTCTTTTATAGCGCCGCAATTGGGAATTGGAGGGTGAGTTATCACTTTTTTTTGTTGCAAATAAAATAAATATATCACAATACTTTAAGAAAGTAGTCCTGATGTTCTTTACATTTGGAAACTTAACTTCACATTGGGAATGTACGAGAATGTTTAATAATTTTTAGATTTACGCACAATTTTTGTTTACTTGTTTTGAGTATGTCAGTGAGATATATCAAATATTCCACTGACATTCCAGTTTTCTTGTTTCCAAACATTTTTGCTAGAAAAGACTTAAAATAATAAATTTTTGAATTATTCAGTTCTCATTCAAATGCTGGAGCGTTATCCGGAGGTTTAACTGGACCTTTTGGAATAGGTGAGAGTGCTGTAAGTTCTATATTATCACGAGAATTACAAAATTTATTTATTCTAGGCCTATCTGGATCGCTAGCCCATTCCCATTCCGGATCAGGAGGCATATTCGGAAGATAGAAAACAAATAATATAATAAAATAAATATAACAATTGTTAAACTAAAATTTGATATGGTCAATATTAGTAAATAGAATATTAAAATAATAAATAAGTCAGTGCTAGAACTTGTTTTCTGAAGTACTACCTCAACACTATAGTAACATTGTTTGGACTACTCACTAAGTACTTATATAGAAGGACTAGGCTCATAATTTCTTCAGAACTCTTTTTACCTAGTTGCGAGAAAGAAAACCTTTATAAATATACTTTAAATCAAGCAACTAATGAACACACTTACAATAGAGTTTATTTGACACGAGCGGAGCGAATTTATAATAAACGAGTGACTTAAAAAATTTACAGAACGTATTGCATACTATACTTTTTCTACGACTGTTAGTTTTTGGGTACATTTTCGCAAAACAAACCGAATACATTCGCTGACATGAACGTCAGAATTGACAAACGTCAAAATTCAAAGCGTGGGAAATATCTCCGAAAACATGCGATCGCTCTCAAATCAGTGCGGTAAAATTCCGGAAATGTCCGAAGTGGCTCGGATCCGTGGGAAACGCAACTGACGTGGTAAAGTGACGCTTCCCGCGCGCTAGATCGGTGGGTAATTGGGTATTTTACAAACGGGAGTAGAGAAAAGTATTAAACGCTAAATTGATAGAGGTTCCCCGTATCCCCGGTGTGTATTATATTTTTAATATTTATAATAATTATTTTATTTAGCATGCTGATGAATGACAATATAAGGCACTTCTGTCCAAATATTTGATTGGATTTAATACTGGTTATAGATAAGTATTGCAATTTGTGTCCCAATTTTATCTGCGTTCAATAATTGTTTTTATTACAGGAACAGTTACCTTTCTTTCACGTCTGCTTAAAAATCTTATGTTTGCAAGCTCTGAATATTGAATTAGACGAGTATTGAGCTATTGTTTGAAATTAATCTTGAAATACTCGAAAAACTGTCGGCCTTATTGTGTCCGTAAAATCTAAAATTACAAGATTCACTTAAAATGGCAAATCACTTTGCAAATAAATACATGCATTTGCTGGGATTTTTGGAGTGCTAATAGAAAGGATACATATTTGATTAGTGATCTGGTGGAATATTTTTGTTGCAGAGAGTTTTGAAAAAAACAATTGTATGAAATCGTAACGAAAAACAGCGAGGCAAAATCAGTTATTTTCCCAACCCGGCAATAACAGGTTCGCCATGAAAATAATTTGGAATTTCATAATTTTAATCCTCTGTGCCCTTGGGGTTACTCTGCATGTACATGAGAATAAAGGTAAGTGCACATTTAGTATTTTTTATTATCTGTACGTTTTTTACTAAATTGTTCATACAACATTTTGTTATATCATTAATCTGTAATGCTTCGGAGTGAATAAATACCATATTTTCCATTATTTTAAATATTTTTTGTAGCTTATAACGCAGTTCTTATCCGTGAGGAAAGATCCCCAAGGGGAGGCGGAGGACATGGAGGATTTGGTGGAGGGAGAGGATTTGGAGGAGGTAGAGGATTCGGTGGAGGTAGAGGGTTTGGAGGAGGCAGAGGATTTGGAGTTGGCAGAGGGTTTGGATTTGGATTTGGAAGAGGGCCCTTCGGAGGTGGATTTGGTCGCTTTGCAGGTGGAGGTGGCATTGGAATATTTCCCTACATCCCATTTAGAAGGAGACGGTTTTATTATTAGTAAATAAGGATCATTATTAAAGATGTAACCCATATGCTATTAAAGATAAAGAACTTCATTTGTGTTAGACAGATTCTTTTAGTGGATTAAAAAATAATAACGTACTAAAGTTGGCAATGAAGTCTCATAATAAGCCACAATACAATTTTAAAAGCATACCAAAATACCCAAATATATCTAGTTTTCCTACATCAGACTCCCGAGTGACCAAAAATAGCAAATATAATTAGCATTGGAGTGAGCTTTCAAAAGTACTGAAGAAAATGTAAAAGAGGCAGCAAACTCTTGTAATACCCTATCTTTCTTTCTTACAAAAGAATGTTAACCAGCATTACGGCTTAATGGCTTCTAACCGAAAACTGCAAAAAATATTTTAATAAATTCGAATTTGGATTTTTTAGTTCCGGCGACTTTGCCAAAAACGAAAAACCTCTAAAGCCAGTAAGTTGAACCAAAAGCATACAATTCGAACTGCTGTAAAATATATCACGGCATATCTAATTTTGGACTGCATGTAAGAACTGTTTAACGACTCTGCTTGAAACAAATTTTGGGTTTGTCGCGTTTATAAAAGTTTTTTGTGGTTGCCCTGTATTAACATGAAATAAAACACAAAAATGTAACCATAATTATTAAAAATTTTATTTATACATTCTCAAATATATAATACAGCGGATGTCTGGTTAATTATTTATAGGGACTATCTACAAATATAGGCACATATCGCAAATGTACAACGTATTGACACTATACAGGGTGAACACTTTTAATTTATACATTGCCCGTCATATAGACAAGGCTCAATACCGTTTTGTTTTGTTCATAACGTATTAGTATCAAACAAATTTTGAGTATTTCATATTAACTTCTATTCCACAAGGAAATCTAGGCAATTAGGCCGAGTAGAAATTTTCATGTTCGTTAGTTTACAAAAAAAATCTGTCTACATTTCAAAATTTAAAAACCTAGTGCATTTCTGAAACTTTTTCATGTAAATATAGCGACAACTTTTATTCTGAAATGAATAAGTTTTGTACTATCTATCACTAACGATCGTGCGCGATTTTACAAAATCCATGTTTACCTCCAGAAACACTAAAACAAAAACTATAAGTGCGCCAGAATCTCCATTTCGGATGGTATTTCCGTAATCTGCACGCTAGAATTATTATCTTGGGAACAACCGCTAACGGTCACTATCACCGGGTTTTGATCACTAGTTTGAACGATAGTTACTAAATTACCGTCCTTCGAACCTTCTAAATCGCTTTGGCTTCCTTTGAGTAACATTTTTAGTGGATTCAAGTCCGTTTCCGGCTCCATTTTCAACGAATCCAGCGTTATATTGTCGAGAGCAATGTCTTCTTCCGCGCTACCTAGGATATTCACTACGTTGACTACTGATTCGCCGTGGTTAGAATCAGAAACACTCAACGAGTGCTCTCGAGAGTGCAGGATGGAGCCTTGCAGCGTACCGGGTCGATTCGAGCTGTTCTGGGATCGATAAGACGGCGGACAGCTGTACTCCGATTGGGTTGCGTCACGTCTGCTCGACAGAGGGGCTCTAAAACATGAGCGTCATTCTAAATAACAAGCAACCGAGATATTCAAACGATTTCGTTATACCTCAGTAGACTTCCTGCGTGACTTCTGTATGTTGGAGGCGGAGAAACGGCGTTTTGTATACCCGCTTGAATTTGAGGAGTATTTCCTCTATCCAAAAGTAACAACCTCAATCTATACTCCTGCATGGAGGCCTGATAGCTCGGCGGGGGAGGCCTAAAAACATCAGCGCTAGAAAATATTCTAGTTAAAAGGAAATTTGGTTTGGCATTAGCGCTTCCTCCTTCCGCTAGGCTGTGCATTGTTACCTGTATTGAAATTCCGGATACATCATAGCGGCGTAGGGATGATGAGGTCGGCCATACGATGGAGGTAGTCTGGGAACGAAACGTCTGGTGCAGACGTCTACGGATTCGGTGGATCCCAGTCCCAACATCGACCTGCAGGTCGATGAATCGTGGGAGGTAAGTCGCCAAGCCACTCCACTGACTGTAATCAGGACTATTCCGACCCCTGTGGAAAAGGAGATGTTCAAAACGGCGTTTGGTCACGTTAATTTAGCCCAGATATATTGGGCCTTTTAAAAGATACTTGTCTAATGTTTACTATTCAGATTACTCAATACATACATAGTAAGGGTTAGGTAAATATTAAGTTCTAGGGAATAATTTTGAATCTTTTTTGTTTATACCAGGTTCTACCAGGTACTCAACTTATGATTGAAGCTAATATTACTCCCGGTTGGATTGGGATGATAATATGATAAAATTAATCGGGTGCAATAGTTGCCGCAAAATATAAAAATACTTCTAATAGAATTAGAGTTAGTAGTAGTTAGAGTAAATACCTCAAGTAGAGTTATTTTACAGTTAACCAGAATGCGTGTATGTGCAGGATAATTGAAAAAAATCACTATTTGCTAAATTGTATTTGGTTTTAACCTAGTATAACGGAATATATAACATCTACATTAGTTGCAGTAAACAACAAGTCGCTAGATTGGATCACCTAATACGGAGCAGAAAAAATCGAAATTTTATGCTAGGAGGGGCTGGTTGTAAATACTGAATGTCAACGGATTTAGAGATAGAGATTTGGCATCGAAAAATGGCATAAGGCAATGGAATTTTAACCCCGTATATACGTTTTGAAAATCTAAGACAATTCTGGATGGGAATGTTTCATTATGAAAACTTTTTACCCCCACTTGTTTTTTTAAGTCACTTTTAATACAGCATATAGGTGATATGATACATAGGAATAAGATAAGTTTTATGGACGCTTTCCACAAAGAATATGTTTTGACGAATATAATAAATGATAATAATAATAAAAAAAATAAATTCAAAAATGTAAAAATATACAGGATGTTATATTTGAAAAATTGGCACAGAAGCGATTTCCAGTGAAACCGGAAGTATTCGACAAAAATTGAGAAATATCTTAAAAATATGCTGTTTTTCTATAATTTATGTATAACAAAGTGTGATTGACTAGTCATTTTTTTTTGTAAATTAACCAGTAAATTGACTGAGATAACTTTTAAAATACAATGAAATTTATATTTATTTATTTATATTGTGAAGAGAACTAAATGGAGTGGATATTTTTGTTGGGATTCCCCGAATCGCAAAATATCCTATTCGGGGATGCGGTGAAGAGGGTTAGCTATAGGTAAATTGGACATCACAAACGCATAATAATTTATTATAAAATACATATTAGTATTAAATAATGATACATTTCGATTCAATTAAGAAGTGGTCAATTGACCCAACACTACCCAACGCTTTCGTTAACCAAATATTCACAGATATTATGGCTTGTCCAATATATAGTCTTTGATACCCAATATTATCAATTTTGTAACCACCACTGTCAAATTTTAAATTTTTTATATTTCTTTAAATAGGTGAACAAACAAAATTGTTTGCTTATGAATTCATCGCTTTAGGCATAAAATGTTAAAGATAACGATAATAGCATATTATGAACACAAGTATTTTAGAGTAGTATAAACTATAATACATTATTGTTAGTTAAAATCGTAATTCAGAAATCCAATATATGTTAGCCTTCCTCTACTACCGACAAGATTAAAAAGTGTCAAACAAGTCTTGAATATATACGTTTAAAGTATTTTAATGTATTTCGAGATAATCTAAATGGCAATCCATTAACAACTTATACACCGAAGATAAAACCTAGGCGGAGTGAACTTTCCGGTGTTGATTATTTTAAGCGTTAGTTTAGGTATTGCCGTCCCCTCGCTCAGCTAATCGGGAACTTGGTAATACCAAAATATTCCGGCTTTCCTTATTCCTCTTTCTAAACATATTGGTTTGGGGAGAAATTATCTTTAATGATCTAGAATTGCAAGCTATTAAATTTGTTCTTATGTACGAGATAAATCAAACACTAGGGAGAATATATGTAACAAATTATAAATTCTATTGTTCCTTACTATATCACCATTTTTCATTCAATTTTCATTTGGGTCGTTTATGGTCAGTGGATAACGCAGACTAATTTGTGAAATCAATTGTAATATGTAGGAAGTGGGGCCAAACTATTTTTTTTATGTGCATATCATGTACATACAAGATACTATTCGGAAAATGGAAATGAACAACAAAGTTGAACTTATATGCAAGCCAATGAGCCACTAAGTACCAGTTCAGTCACTTACAAAATAGAAGCACACAAAGTTTCAAGGATAATTTTATTTATTTTAATTGTCATACTTTTTAAAATTAAAAAAAAAAACTTTGTTTATAAAAAAATAAGTACAGTTATTGCAATGAGGGCTGCCAGAGTTAAAAACGAGTTATTTTAAAAACAGTAAGTAAGCAATTTTGCAAAATTCTTGTACTGTACTATACTGTACCATACTTACTACTGTAAGTTATATATCGAAGCTGTTTTTCCAATTGTAATATGGAATTACTTGTACACTACTCTAATTCAACTGTTCTCTCCAAGTAAGAGGAGTGAAAATGACAAATGAAAGAAAGCAAGTTGCCGAAAGAGAAATATGAAATGAATGTTCAATAGGCGACGTACATGGGATGGTAGCTATGAACATATAAGAAGTTGCTGTATAGTATGTCGTTAAGCTAAAAGTTTTTTAGATAATTGCAATGCACAAGTCGAAGTGAGTATAAATAAATAATAAATGAGAGGTATTCGCGAAGTTGTCAATGTTGTCCCTAAAACAGAGCCGCTGACATCACCCCCAACGTCATGCGAAACGGTTTGGCAGCCGAGTGGCTTTATTCGAGATAATTTCCCCTGATAAGCATTTCGGTTAAATTCGCTATCTGTCGCTATGACTACCGTCAGCTGACTGCTGCAATCTCCTTGCTAATAATGGGATAATTAAGTCGTTCCAATCTCCTGGGGGTTAAGGTGAAGGGAAAGGGGATGCCGCGCCAAGCCGGTTGGCATGGCGCGTGGTTTCACGTATCTAAAGGGATCAGGGGGCGAGAGACCTGTTTCCGTTTAGGGAGGTGTGGTTTTAAAACACTTTCCCCAAGTGGAATCGAACTAATTCTAAGACTAGAACAGAGAATATACGAGATAGTTATCAGCTCTAAATATTTTTCAACAGTATAGAAATTAAACAACAATAATATGGAAAAAATAATCAAGTTTCAATTAATAGTGGAATCAATCAATTTGATCAGGACCGAACCGGACATCAAATTTTATTCGATAAAACTAAAATTCTTCTAGCAACAAAAAATCCGAGAGTCTACACAAATTTGCAACCAACCAAACTATATACACCGCGACTCCAGTCTTTACCTTGCAGCAATATGGGAATCAATCATGCCCCTCCTTTAGCTCCGCCCCTTCTCAAACAATATATAAGCAGGTACAGAGTAGAATGCGAACTAGTTTCAGTTAAGCTCTGAAGAAGCCAATAGGATGATTGGCGAAACGTCAGCAAGTTTGATTTATCAACAACGAACGCAGAAGGAATCCAGAATATTTGTAAGTAGTACATTATAATGGCAAATATATATAAAGTCTCATCAAGGGGTTATAAATATTTCCTTGACACTTATATTTCATAGAACAGTTTCTCAAGAGGTTGTGTCAACGTTCAGCCGTTAAATCAATCACTAAAATATAGCATGACTCTGCCTTTTTTATTGTAAACCAATTTTCATATTTTTCGACAATTTCATTAACACAAATTATTCGCGAAGATCAAAGTTTTTGACTTTTGATGTTGATTTCTTTCTGGATACCAATATTTTTATTTGTGTACAATGTCCGACATTAGCGGGCTTTTTATTGGAGTTACAAGGTCGAGTTCGCTGCTGAAAATTGTTGTTAAAATAATTTAAGTCTCTAGAAGAATGGTTTGCAACTTTATGGAAAGGATTGACGTTATTGGCGGTTTTTCGGTCACACTTCTCCTGTAGTTTGAAAAGAATGTAGAGCTAGTTTACGTTAGTGAACACGAAAATTGGAACAGACATTTTTTCTAATACTTGAAACCTTTTAGAAAGTGTTGCACTGCATTGCATGTAACTGTACAGATTTATATTTTTTCAAAATAATATGGTGAGCTCAAGTTACTGGATTATATCTTCTATTTGGAAAAAAGTTTATTTCCTATTTATTCCAACAAACTTTCATACCCCAGCTTCCACCAAGTAACACCGAGACAAATTAACGAATAATTTAAAGCCGGTAGCGATGCATACTTCCTTATTTCTTCTTTAGAAGTCGGCCTTTGAACCTTACCGACGTTAAATAGCTTCCAAAAACCTCGGGCAATCAAAGGATGACGGCCGTCGCTCGTATTCATAAATAAGCCTTTTCGAAGTCGAAGTTGGGTAAACCTCAGCAAGTTCAGACAAGTAAATTAATAGTTTGGCTAACCACTTCACAACGAGCAAACGGAGGAAGTAATAAACGAATCTCTCGCCATCAAAATTTCACAAAATGGGCCGCGGGGCGTTATAAAATCCGAGAAGGATTATTTTTCCCTTTATGGTTTTTAATAGCCGTACGGCAATAAAAGATCGACCTAAAATATAAGAGCAAGTAATCTGATATCAGCGTCGTGTAATCGGAGAACGCTTTACCAAATAAGATGGCACGCTATAAAAAACTTCAATACAATGTTCCTTTCAACAACGTCTTAGTTAAGTTTTTATTAGGGTTTTCCTTTTATGTTGATTAACATTCCCACTTCATTACTTATGGTAAATTAGAATCTAATATTTTATTAGGATGACTAGTTATATCAGTGACAAAGCAAGTGGACGAAATTGAAGATGACCGGAGTACTGATGATGAAATTTTTATTTACAGTTATGAAGAGAATAATAATAATAATAATAATAATAATAATAATAATAATGAAGCAATTGATGAAAATTAGTGGTCACGGGTCATAGATTCCTTATCAAAAGTTTGCAGCATATAAAATTTGCAAAAACAAATATGTACATTCGTATATTCCTAACCTATGGTACATACATATGTTTTCTCCATATTTGAATACGTTATGGTGAGAATCCAGTTAAAATACAGATAACTGAAAAAAGTATACCTCATGTACGGCATTGAAATGTTCAGTCCTTGGCTAACTAAAAACATGTCAAAGTTACTTGGTCACTACTGTCTAACTACACAATCAGTTGTTTCCAGCTACAGTTAGGTATTAGTCCGTTTCTAATAATCATTGATGTAATACTTTCAACAATTGCAAATTACCAAATCATTCTCTTCTTAAACAAATAAAGGCAAAATGATATAAGTACTCATATCACAGCCCCTGGTCTCTGTCTATTTACACACAATTACTACATGACATTTTAAAATCGATTAATTTCATTAATAGTTTTTTCACTAACAACTATTTTAAACGAACAGTAGCAAAAATGTCGCTTCCCATAGTACAAAAATATAACCAGTGCCTGCTAAGCTTTGATGGAAGGCCTGTCAATGTTTATTACGGTGCCCTCAAGAAAACTAAAGAGACTGATAATCGTCCTTATTGCGCAGTATAAAACTACTTCGACCTATGACATGTCCCTGCATAATAACCTGCAACAATTCATATTTGTTGCCAACAGAGATTCAATTCAATTCTTTTTAGAATTGCAAGCAGAAAAGATTTAATGTGCGGCTCGGCACAGTAAGGGAATTTTTAACGAGCGCCGGTATATCCCAGTATTGAAAGCTCCCAAGCTCCGGGACGTTCCCTTATTTAATGTCCAACCTTCCAGTCCGTAGAGGAACACTGGAAACACATCGATAGCATCGGGTCATTCTAAATATCAGGATATCTCATAAATCTTTAGCTGAAAATATTTTTTCATTTTAATGATCACCTTACTAGCTTGTTCGTATGTCAAGGTACAAAATATGTAACCTGCTCAATGATTTTGTTGTTTACATATAGCAGGCTTGTGTTACTTTTATTATTGGATAAAAACAAAATTTTTGTTTTGTTAATATTGGTGAGTCCATATTCTTGTACACCGTTGTCAACCAGCATCTGCAGGCCATCCAGATTGCCAGCTGTCTCGGTATCCAATGCTTACCAAAATATATATTTTGAATATATATTAAATAACAGGATGCATCCCTATCTGATGCTTTTCTGAAAGCTTGCTTCTTCTGAAAGAGATCCTTGAACCCGGATATAATTAATATAATATTCTGCAATATGTTTAACAATTTCGGATGGTTCACTTTATCAAAGGCTTTGCTGTAATCTATGAAGCTAACGTCGACACCTGCGCCAATCCATCTTATATTTATTGCGTACTATGGTGTGAATGATTACTAAGAAGATCTGCAGGATATGATTAATAAGACTTTGTGCCATTTTTCAGTATTGGAACATAGGTAGGTAGCAGCCACTAGTAAGGAATATTTTCGGTCCTATAGAACCGGTTGAATAAGTCCACAATAACTTGAACTGAACTTGCTGTGAATAAGCTCAGCTCCGTATTCTATCTCTAATAGCGTTCTGTATTTGCTTACTTTTTTTTTTCACTGTCTCCTTTCATCCATTAGTGTTAATCAATCAAGTTTTTTCTTTTTTCTTCATGTGATTTGTGTATTTTCCGACTATTGAGTTGTTGTGATTGCTATTGAGATGACCACGAAGACGTAAATACGGATGTTTCCGTAGACGATTTTGGTGAAATGATAAAATATCTTTCGGCTGATTCTGTAGTCGTTATGGGTATTGGAGAAAACAAGAAATTCTTGCCTGGTTGACAACCGAAAATATTGAATTTGAGAATAATTTGATAAAGACTATAGCAGACGATAAAAAATATTATGATTTTTTATACCTATTTTAATTTCTGTATAATGCATTTTTTGTACAATGTTTAGTTAAAAAATAAAGATACCTAATGCTATGTATACAGAGTGTCCCGAAATTAGACGTCAATATTTTAACCCTGTTCTTAGTTCTATAAACTAGGGTCCAGTTTTAGGGACTGCTGAATTTGAAAATCTACGTAAATGAGGTACCCTTGTCTAACCTCGATAGAACACACGGTTTTCTAGAAAAATGCTTTTGAAAATTTTGTTATAATTTTTTTTTATTTTGACATTTACAATCCAGGTGCAGAAAATCATTAGTAAGCATTGGAAGTTAATGACCCGTTTCATTTGTTCGTGTTGATATTAATTAAAATGAGTAAATAAAAATTAAATGCCAGCTTTCAATTTTGTTCATTTTTGGTAAAAAATAGTTTTTACTTGGATTGTTCTTATATATCCTTTTATTAACGAAAGACAATTCAAACTGTCAACTGTAAAACTAGTCATTCTAATAAAAACTATAAAGTTTACATATTAAAGAAGGTCGACTGTTGGTGAAAAATAAGCTATTTATATCTGATTTTACTAATCGTCGAGTTTTTATTAATACACATAGGCATCTAGTTGAGGATCATTTCAACGTAATCGTGGATCAAGGAAACTATAAATAGTAAGTTAATATCATTTTTCTTTTATTTTATAATTTTACCTCTGCTATAGTTACATTAATTCAGGGGCGGGTCCAGGACTTCATTTGGGGGTAGGGGGTATTTCGTTCAGAGATATATTTTGACCTATCTTTTCAAATATAAATAATAAACATAAATAAATCTAACAAATAAAACTTCAAAATCATGATTAATGAATTAAATGATATCGTTCACATAACTTTTTAACTTTTTGACTTTAATTAACTCGGCAACGTTTAGGCGGAAATTAGCCTCGAAGGTATTTTTTTAATGTCTTAAAAAATTGCCTATTATGATTGTTAGTATTACAACAATTTGTTTTTTAGGTTGGTAGAATGTTAAGAATGCAAGGTTTTCATCTCTATCGTTACCAGCGTGTCCAAGCCCTTTGACCCTAGCACTTTTTGCCAAGAATGGAGTTTAGCGAGTCGATAAGAAACTACGAGGAATTCCTTTTATTATGTGGAGCGACGAAGCCACATTTACAAGAGATGGTGTTTTTAATATTCGCAATCACCAATTCGCAGGAAAATCATCGGGTTGTGCGACGTGGAAATTTCCAAAATAGATTTTCTGTTAATGTATGGGCGGGGATATTAAACGGGACATTTTCCGATCCGATTGAAATTGAAGAGGTGGCCCCCTATCCAGTGACCACCTCGTTCCCCGGATTTGAATAAATTAGATTACTATTTTTTGGGTCGTATAAGAGATATAGTACATGCAACAGAATTCAACAGGGTGGAGGTGTTGCGCGAAAGGATACGTTTGGCAGGAAATCAAATTCGACAAAACTATTTCGAAATTTCACGTGCCTCGCATGCGATTTGCCGTACAGCCGACCTTGCCTACATGAGCAAGGCAACTTTTATGACCACCTTCTTAAAAATGTAAAGTTTATAATTTTTATTAAAATAATTAGCTTTACAGTGATAGTTTGATTTGTCTTTGGTTAATGAAGGATTTATAAGAACAATCAAAGTAAAAACTATTTTTTACCAACAATGAACAAAATTGAAAGCTGTGGAATAATTGACATTTCATTTTTATTAACCCAGCGACGCAAATAAATGAAACGCGACTTCTAAGGCTTACTAATGATTGTCTGCACCTCGATTGTAAACATTAAAATAAAAAAAAAATTAATTCATTTTTTCTCGAAAACGCCTCCCCTGTGTTACCCACCCCTGAAGACTTCCAATACTATGTTTTAGTTCGTTAAATAGAGCCTAGAAAGTTTAGTTTCTGTAGCAAATTTTATTTTAAAATATTTACGTGTTTCGAAAATATTTACAAAAAATCGCCATTACCTCTTCCAATTCTACACCTTGTACGCTACAAAACTAAGACCCTAAAACCCTAAACTGGACCCTATTTTATATGAACTTTTATCATTATTTTGCGTCACAGAATACGTGGTTAAAATATTGACGTCTAATTTCGGGACACCATTTTCAACAAACTCCAAACTCGATAAAAAGAATTTTGCAATGAAACCAATGCCAAACCATGAAAGTGGCTTAAGAGATCGTTGGGTCACTCTTTATTTTCTTTGCATACTTAATGATTCATTACACTCCATCTTTGTGACTTTCGCAACTGTTTTAAATTACATATATCAATTTTGTGCAACTAAATGAATCATCATAAAATATTCTGCAACTAAGTAGAAAACCAGTGGGATATAAGTCGTAAATTGGCCGAAATTGTGGCGAGCATATCCACTTACACAACGATAAACCAGATTTGTGTATTTAACTCCAATTTCTCTACGCGAGCGAAAATCCTGCGAAGTAAAATGCAAAAACTCCAAAATCCGGCGGCTGCATAATAAGTAACTAAATATTCGGCCACTCGGGCTCGCTTAATGAGGTTTTTAATTAGCACGACTAGTCTAGAAAAGAGTTTGAGTGCCACCGACGTTTTTGTTTTCGAAAATTTCCGCGTTTATTATTTATTTCTTCGGGTAATTTCATCCTGCGCTTCTGTTTTTATTTGACTGAAAATGAGTTTTAATAGCGGTCCTTACCAATCATAAGTAGCGAAACTGTCAAATGATCTCGTCCGGCGGGTCTCATTGCACCTAGAGCGGTCCCAACCAACACGCAACATACTGCGACTAATGCTATCAGCGCTATGAACCATCGCAGGGAGCCCGGCTTCCATGACAGGATCCCACAGCAGCCTTTGGGTGAGTCTTCGGAAAATCTAGTCCTGCAAGACAATAAATAATTGTTTTTATAAAGCGAACTCTAATGAATAATGGAATTATTCAGGATATAACAGTTTATTGTAGTGGATCAGGTGGAGTTTTAAAGAATTTTGACTTTTTTTTTATATTTCTTAAAAGCCAAATTAAATTAACCTTAATCTTCAAACGCAAACTGACCAATGGTAACTATATTAAGTTATGGTTACTTGGAACAGGACTTTTGTGTTTTTTGAGGTTACTTATTATAGGATCGACTAAAAACGATAAAATTATTAAGGTTTCATTTTTTGATCTTTCAACAAAATAAGATTCTTTTTTCATTATATTATATTTTTCTGCCTGTTTGTAATTTTTGGTAAAATGTGAGCACCCATGATTATTTCAAAATGTGTCACTTACAACATAAGATTTGTAAAATATTTGGTTTAATTTCTTGCCCATTTTAAGTGGTTCAATGTAAAGAAAGCTAATTTAATACGAAATTAAAATAACTTCCTTGTGATATAATTTCTTAAATTCTTTAGGTTTTAAGTTTTTCTGTTGTATTACACGTTAATAACAATGTAAACGCTGGAACATGAAGCGAAAGGAGTGATTAATATTCACTTTCCGAAGAGATGCTGTCCATTAATTCTTACTTACAAACAAGTAAATTGTGGAAATAATTTAAAATACGAAAATGATTGAAACTATATGGAACTCTGCACTTAACGAGATTCACGAATTATAATTGTTAGAATTCAGATAGGCAATAATATATGGAGAAATCTATGCTAAATAACGAATTGACTAATCTCTGGTATGACAATTCTAAACAATTCTTTTCATCTGAGATACTTTATTTTCGCATTTCTCTGCCTTCTGTAAAAAATAAAAAGTTGTTTCTAAGTTTAAATCCATATTTTTCTTAATTAGAAATTCACTGGACTCATGGACTTCGGTAAAAATAATAAGCTTTATTGTCAACAGATATAATATTCATTGATAAGACAATTTATTCAGAATATCGAAAACATACCAATAAACAACATACTAAAAAATCACCCAACCAAAAGCAACCATATAATATGTATATATAACTTTATATACATAAACAAAAAAAAAACAAAATTCAAAACCGAATCACCTGAAACGTAAAAATCTACCTTTTAATGCCAAAATGGAAGCTCTACCAACCTCTTAAGATATAGCTCTTAAAAAGTGGATTCTCTTTTTTTTTAATTTTACAATGAAAATGTTTAAATTTAAATAGTGAAATAGTTGTCAAATACGAATCTGAATTTTCTACACATTTTCATGAGTACACTAGAAAACTTACTGTGTTTGACGTTTTCCACAGTAAAATAAATGATATTGAGATACTTCAAAGTTTCCTAGGTTATCCGAGTTGATTTTATTCACTCTCCACTCGAAGAGAACATACCTTAATAACGCTTAATTGATTCTCTAAATAAAAACTTAAATAGAACTGCAATTAATTATCGAACCCATTATTATCAAACGGCGGAAAATTGCCGACCAAAAGAGAAATTTCTAATCTAACTCGCGGAAAAAAACGGCAACTGAATTGCGGAATAATATTAATTAAGTCACGAAGAGCGCAAACGGCGGAGTCGGAACCATTTTAACTCGATTTTATAAGTAATTAAGAGATAAATTAGAGTTATAAATGACTTTGGTCGATTCGTCGTGAAGTAGAACGCAGAAGTTTGCGGGTTGTTTGTCGCGAGATGACGAATTTTCGCGTTTGATTCGAACCTCCTCCTAATTGAAATTGCTAGAAAGAGGGAAACTGGTTAGCGATCGATATTGTTTGCTTAGGAAATCAGCAACGAAGTAGTAGTTCGCAATATTATTTTTTTCAAAGAAACTTCCACAAACTGCTGTAATACTATTTACAAATATTCTGGATTTCTCCTGCATGGGTTGCTGATGAATTGAACTTGCTGACAGTTTGACCATCATCCTGTTCGCTTCTTCAGAGCTTGACTGAAACTGGCTTATATTCAACTTTGTACCTGCTTATATGTTCTTTGAGGGAGGCGGAGCAAAAGAAAAATCAACATTGTCTCGGATGACTGAATCCTATATTGGTGAAATGCAAAGATTGTAGATTTCTATAGCTGTGTGTTAAGATTGAGTTTATCCAAGCAAAGCAATGAGTTCAGAATTCCTTTGGCCTTGTAGCAGTGTAATTTTTATATCTAATCTTGTTGCTAGGTTTTCCGAAACTATGCTTCTTAGTTATTTCAACTGTCTACATCTTTTAATTATTTGCCAAGATTTTCTTATTGTGCATGGGGGTTGTAATTAAAGTATTTTATCAAGAAAGACCGTGTTTGAGCTAGTTAGACCACAATCTAAATATTAAGGAGTCTTCAAAGAACACCCTGTATATTTTGAGAAATATTAACAAAGTGATATGAATCGCGGTTAAGATTATTCGGTTACTTATAGATTTCTATAGATTCTCGGATTTTTCATTGGTAGACGAACTGATTACTGCAAGAATTTTAGTTTTATCAAATAAAATTTGATGCCCGGTTTGGTCATTGTGTGCGAGAACTGCTGATGAGTTTATTTGTCGTATCTTAAGGTTCTTTCATGTTCTTTGGGCCTAGTTAATATTTTTCATCTTCCTATGCATGGAATGTTGTAAATTCCTAGTATTTCAAATGGAATTTTGTCTTTGATGGATCGAAAATGTCGATTTTCATTTTGACGTTATATTTTTTACGAACTTTTGATATGTGGTCAGTAATGTGAATGTAAGGAAAGACAACAGTGGCAAAAGTGTGGTTGTCGTTCTCTCTGGAAAGTTGTGGTGAAATGTATTTTGTGATTAAACACTTAATATCTCTAATGTGAAAATTATTAGAGAAGAGCAGATGTAAGATGTTTTGATTCTGGGTTCAATCACTCGGATTCAGATAGTTTCAAGCCTTCATGAACAAGAGAGTTGATAACCGATAATTTTTCGGGCGGATGGTGGTGTAACAATGCATTAAGGTATCGGTCTGTGTGCGTAGGTTCCCTGTAAACAGAATGATTTCTGATTTTCTATTGATAAAAATATCTAAGAATAGGAGGTTATTAATAATTTCTAATTCAATGGTAAAACGTATCTTCGGGTGTATAGAGTGTGTAGAGCGATTCTTGACCATGAGGACAAATAACAACAAATAATAAAAGTAATATCAACGTAGAGTTTCCATAATTTTGGTTTTACATGCAAAGTGTCGAGGGCTTTCTTTTCAAAGGCAGATGAGACATGTTGGTAGTTTCAGGAAAATTAGTAAAGAGAAACTCTGCGTCGAAATTAGCCAGAATATCCTGTGGATCTAATGTACTGGTTCTGCGTCAAAACTAACTAGAATATCTTGTGTATCTAATGTAATGCTTTTTAATTGTTCAATGAAATGAAAGGAAACTGTCAGTTTTTCCTGTAAGGGGTCTTAATAAGGAAGCTAGAGAATATGTTGGAGAACTAATGGTGTTGACAATAGGTCGAAGAGGTAATCCTGGTTTGTGAATCTTAGGGAGTCCGTACAGACGAGGAATTTTAGATTCATGAGGGGTTGTGGGGTATTATAATTTTAGTTTTGTTGTTGATTTGATTTTTTTATATCTCATTTTAAAAATATTAGTCTGAATCGTCGATTCTAATACCAGCATCGGAAGGTTAACATTTGGAAGCAATGGCATACACTGGGTTTCATTTTATAAATATAAATCTTCTGACTAAAGGAGCATTTCCATGTATTTCTTTCAGTCCGTTATCCGTTTCTCTAGTACGAAGTCAAATATAATGGCAACCTAATTTGAATTCAGCAGCGTTGTAGAGAAGTATCTGCAAATTAGAAAAAGATGAGGATTTAAAGTTATTAGTAATAATTTCATATTTGCACATCAAATTTTTCATATGTGGTTTTCATATATTCTCAATATCAAATTAATTAATTACTAAATCCACGCCTTCTAATTATAAAGTCTCACAGATCAGCAAGACAAAAGTAAGGAACAAAACTAATTGAAGTAGTCTCTAACCAAGTGGTGTTATCCCTTTCAAACAAAGAGGGAACGTCACTGCATGTAGTTCGAAATTTTTCAACTCCGTGCGTTACTGAATACGAAAAAAGAAAATGGCAATTAAACAACACTTGTTTCTTTCCAAAGGTATAGAAAGTATTAAGAAATTATTTCCAAGGAATTTTTAATGTTCGCCAAACGAACTACATTCCAATATAACTTAAAGGGAAACTAAAAATAAAAGCTTATTTACCATTAGTGATTAGTGTTCAAAATTTGGTCAAATTTTATCTGTGGAAGTTTTCTTATTCCGCAACCATCACAAATACGTTCACTGAGAATAGAAAAAGTCTATTTTTTGTAACATTAATCGGTTAACAACCTAACGCTGTCAAATGATCGAAAAATACGTTGAAAACATCCGATCGCTCTCAAACACCCATGATGGGATAAAATATCCGAACAATATGCACATAATTGAGTATTTTAGAGTAGAGAGTACAAGTAATGTTTAATAAACCCATTTCAACCGATTTCAATTAATTTGTAAAAAAGAGGGCTCATTTTAGACAGTTATTAGGTCAAGCGACGAACAAGATACGCTGGTTTCAACTTAATTATAATTACTGGCATTTTTCCCAAGCACTCAATGCAATTTTATAATGTACTCAGGAGTTAAAATCACAGACTTATTATAAAGAACAACCTTAAATCATTAAACAGTCTTACTAATACACAATTTTTTTGTCTTAAATACCTGAAATATCTTAGGTAGTTTAATTTAGTTACTTAACATCTACCCAACACAGATAATACGAACAAAACAAAACAAACAATCTTGGCGTACTTGAAAATAGGGAATGTTTTTAAATGTCAACTGATAAACACGAGGGCAATAATCGAGCAATCTGTTTATTATTTAGGATCATCAACGAAGAATATATATATTAATTATTTAGCAATAATAAAGACC